CTTAGGTCTAAAACCCTACAAAAACTTAAGCATGTTCATGACTTTTATGTCAATGGGACTGGTCCACCTACATAAAGTTATGTATATGCTTAATTCTTTGCAGGATCAGGGCCTTATGTCATGGTCAGTCCTTAATAAATTATCTCCCTGAGCCCATTTCCCATTAGAAAACATCTGTCATTGCTGTTCCCTTGCTTCATGCAGGAGCATGAGTGAGCCGTTAAGTACCAATGGCAGTCTATAAATCAAATGATGGGAAACTTCTGCAGAGTGACTCCCTCCTCCAGCTCAGGATCACTACTTCTGAGCTACAGGGGGCCACGAAGCAATAGCAACAAAGATACTGCCATAATGGGAACTCACATGAGGACTGAACTGTTGACCAGATTACCTGTTAATTCTTCAGTAGTTCAAACTGTCTCCTGTGTAAAACAACCCCAGTTTTGATGCATTTGCATGTAGAAAAGACACGAGCATAAAAATGTTACAAGTAATAAATAAATGAATCAGGAATTCATATTAAGAAACCAAATAAGCTGTAGTGATTGAGACCCTGCCCTTAGAAGAGACTTCTGTGTAATGAGGGTTTCAAACACAAAACCAGAAATCTTGCAGGGCAGTATAGTGCAGAAAATGACAACAGTTCCAAATGTATTTATTGAGAAGTAGTAAAGATGTACATATATTTTACAAGCTTTTAATATTAATTTACATTATCTTAAATTAGGTAGGCCCCAATAAACTAGAACTTGCTAATACATGACAGAGACACTTGGCCTCAATTAAATTTCCAAAATGCTGCTATTGCTGGGAGTCATAATGCAATTTTGGCTCATGCCACTTAAAAATTTTCTCTTTAGAGATACTAAATACCATATTCATTTAAAGCATGTGCTTGGTATAAGGTAGAGCTGGCTCCTGAACTAAAACCCTGGAGCTGGATCCAAGTTCACCGCTAAAATGTAGTCTTCCTGGCAAGGGTCAAATCCACACACACTTAAATTTGGGATTTGGATTTCAAACCCCGCCTCCCCCCGCAATGTTCAGGTGTGTTTGGATCCAGGATTTTGATATGGGCAGATCTTCTGTGTCAGTGCTTAGACTGGAACATGTTTTTGCACCTGTTTTTGGTGCGTATATTGCTGCTTATACTGGATACTAATAAAATCCAATTCTGGGAGTCAGCCATCACCTATATCTTTGTGCACAATCAACAAATGTTTCTAAGACAGAGCTTTGCTTCTAGATTTCACTTTACTTTTTTTATACTGAACTGTACTAACTTACCCCTTATCATATTTAAGATATTGCTTACTCTGTGATTGAAATTGCACTGTATTTATATCTTGCAAGTGCAGTATTAAAAGTGCCTAATGTTCAAGTACTGTACTCACTTTAGATTGCTACAGTAACTGCAAAAGGCACAATAGTCTATATTTTAATTGCACATAGTATTTGCAAACATAACATTGTATTCATTTTGGGGGTAGGGTTGAAGGGAGGCAGTTGTTATTGTATTATATACATTGAATTAAAATGCACTCAAAGTCCAAATGACCAAAGCTTACTTAGGTCCAACCATATTGATTTGGAACTGTCTAATTTGAGTAAAATATCTGCCTTGGTTATTCATGCCTGTAGTTGTCATGCAGGCAGCCTTATCGAAGTAAGAATATGCTATAAGACTGTATTTAAAGATACCACATGTGTTACTTTTTCCTTAAGTAGAGTCTATCTGTGCATCTGGAATTCTGGAAAGAGCTTTGGTATTGTGTGTGAAGTGTAAAGGGCTTAGGGATAAACCCTTAAGTGGTGAGGTGCTGTAAGGTTTTGTGAATTATTATTATTATTATTAATGGTATGAAGCTAATGCATAGAGGTCCCAATATTATCATGGCTTCACTGTGCTAGATGCTGTACAAAAACATTATGTTAGTCTTAAAGGTGCCATAGGACCCTCTGTTGCTTTTTACAGATTCAGACTAACACGGCTACCCCTCTGATACTTGACAAAATTTTATATCACTCTGAGCCATACCCTCCCATAGGAGCACATGCATAACTTCCATGACATGATTTTTTTTTTTAAATAGATGGCAGGCTGTGGACTACATGTTACTATAGCTGCCATGTTCCTTTTAAAAGCAAATATTAGAATGATTTTGAAGACATTAGTATATTTAAGTCTTTCAGTATATTTAAAATTGCTTCACTTAAAATTTTCACTGCAATAAAAAAAATGGAAACTTAAAATTTTAACCTCTTTACATCAAATTTTATTTTTAGGCCAAATTTGATCAGGTACCATACTGTAAGAATAAACTACCTGTAAATAATTCCCAGCCATAGGCCTCTTTCAAGAGAGGGGGAAAAAGGAATCCCCCCACACACATTTCTTCTGTAATTGGAGGTATATAATGATTTAATGTGTGGCAAGACCAGTGTGATGGCTGCACATTTAAAACTAGTGGCAGTAGCATACCAGCCTGTTGTCTGAATGACTTGCGTACAAAATTCCAACGGAGGCAAAGGAATTTCTTTTTACTTAGTTATAAAAGAGTTTTGCCATTGACTTCAATGGGGCCAGGATTTCACCCAAAGACCTGACTTTGACGTGGTCAATGTAGTTTAAATAAGCAACAAGCAATTTCCCTATAAGCATCTCCTGAATAGAAATAGGTTGGTTTCACAGTAAAGAACAGGAGGACTGCATATCATTATTGAGTACTGTCCTTACATAGGTGGCCCTGGCATCTGCATTTCACATCCTATCATGACAAGTTCTCTATACAGTCAGAACAAGTGGGTGCACATGTGCTGCCACATACAGTATCAAGGAAGAGAAATTTCCATCCTCCACAATAAACTAAAGTTATTAACACTTCCAGTTGCTTCATAACACTGAAATCAGATGTGGGGTGGTAGAACTACAGTGTGGAATATGACCCCTCCGCCCCCCAAAATGCCATTCCTAACCAGGGAAAGAGGGAAATGGAAGAGACTTAATTTGGTTTTGTGTAAATGGTAGATGCTCCCTATGCAGGTTTTTCTGTAGCTTGTAAGTAATTAATGAATATGGCTCTTAGTTTTCTCATGTGAGAATGAAGAAAGGATGTTCAAGATGTTAAGCAATTGTTTTAGCTTTGAAGGTAACGGTCCCCAATATCATTTCAGCCTCCCAAAAGCCTCTTAACTTGCCTCAGTGGAACTATTCAGAAACCAAATAAAAACCACAAACTTTCCTTTATTTTTTCTTACTGAAACAAATACTTAAATGCTTTTGATGCAGCCCTGCTCTTTGATTACTTGAATTTGAAATTTGGTCATGTCAAAAAATGTCAACTTTTTTTTGTTTATCTACATAGTTTTTAACCAAAATTACATTGTAACACACAAACACGGTCTTGTCTTTAAGGCACAACACATCATTATGCACATTCTGTTTGCCAAACTTATAAAAGAGACAATATTATATAACCCTTCCCCACCCCCTCCAAAAAAAGAAAAATTGCATCCACTTCCAAAAATCAGCTGCTAATAAAGTCACAGTAAATTATTTTCATCAATAATTTACACAAATTACAGGTCTAGACAGGATTGTCATTATACAGTCTGAGTGCATTCCAATTCAGATTTTCTGGGTTAGGTAGGCTAAAGTCTGGTTCAAACCTCAGTGCTGAGAGTATACCCCATATTGAGGAATGTTGTTGACCACCACCTTGTCGGTCAGAAAACGCATGTTGGTGCTTTGCCATCATGAGTCCTTTGTTCGCTCCCATTAGGGCTCATTTGGTGTGTACCAGCAACCTCCATAGGTTTTTATTCGTTAGAAATGTTGCATATATAAGACCATAGAGCTTCCTTATGTAGCACTAACATTTTAACTCCATTCAGCAATCTGAATTCTTCATTGTGGAATTTTCATTCCAAATATTTCTTCCCTTCTTAAGACAATTCATATGTGTTAAGCCAGAGGCATCGAATCACACATAAAAATTCAGTGTACTTGAAATATAAAAAAGGATCGCCAACTATAGAACACAGTTACAAATACTCTAGTTCCAGTGCTTGATGTAGAGCCAAGAGGTCCGAATGACTTGATATCCTCCAGAAAGGCATGTTGTGCTGCATTTGTTAGGGGGAAAAAGTGAGGAAAAATGAACACCTTGTCTACAGCAGAAGGCACACAGCAAACAAGTACAGTTAAGCTCACAACAATATATTTGTAATGTTATGTTTGCGGTCTGATGTTTGTTAGTAAAATACTGACAAAAATCAGACCAAAATAGATCTGAGCTTAATTCTTAGAACTAGGAGGAAATAATCAGATAATCTGTTTCACTGTTCACACTGGAAATAGCCCAGAACTCACTGAATGCAACTCCCTTCATTTGGCCAGGGGAGCTTGCTCATTTGCTACTATGAAATTTATTAGAAAAAGGATGATCACTATTTATTTATACTCATTTATTACCATTAAAAAGGTTCAATTCTCATTTAAAGGGTTATAGGACAGTCAATAAGGAAAGGCTCATATGTAACATTTTGCAACACAGACAAGTATCTTTTTTTTGGTCCAGCTGGGGGGAAAACTCTTCTGGAGAGAAACTTTCAAAACACTGGTTTAAATAAAGATGACTGATGCTGCAGGAAACATCAATGTCTGCTGGTAGATGCAGTATAGTGAATTACAGATCTACCCATGCCAGATCACTCTTCGAAGGCTGCTGCTGGACACTCACCTAGTTCCAGGGAGCTAGTCAGCTAGAGAAGAACCTTTATTTTGCTCAGTTCAGATCTATTTGTAAACTGCTGTATTCATCTATTCCTCTGAAAACCATATCTATTCATGCAAGTACAGCTACAGTTAGAGAGAAGCATGCCAACTGGAAACTGCCAAAACCAACCACTTGTGTTCAGCACAGACCCATCACCAGTACTGCACCTCTATAAGCAACCATTTGGAATGAGCATTTTGATTTTGTTTCCACTACAGCGTAAATGTCAAAACAACACATAGGACCCATCAAAATACTAGAAAGATTTAAGTTTTGCTATCCTTAGTGCTAATTCTTGGTATTTCTGGTCATAACTCAGGAGGCAAAGAGCACAACATTCAGAGTACATTACATTTTCTACATTACTGGGAGTTACAGTGGAATGCGTTTGACTTCTGAAAGATTTCCAACTTGTTCTGTTTTCAAATATTGACAATTTATTTGCTTATACGTCACACTTACAAATTTTGACTGAGAAAACTGTGCAGAAAATAAACATTTTTTACTTTGAAGAAACTGTACATTTGTGTGTCTTTCTTTTGCAGAAGTGTTTCTTGAAACAAACTATGGTTTAAAATCAATCATGTTTCTCCTAGTATATTCTAAAGGCGTTTTTTTCTCTTCACGATAGAAGAACTTTGGCGCAATATTTTTGCTGGTTTTCTGCATTCTCTCCAATAGCTCTTGCTCTAATTTCCACGTGTTGTTTTAACCAAAACCCCTCTTGCTTTATTACTTCTGTTTATATCTTAGGGTTCATTTGCGTTTTTTCTCCCCCTTAACATTCATTTAATTTTTGGGGGTACATTTCTTACCCAGATTGTCATAAAGCAAATGCTAGAATCCAAATGGTTTATTTTAATGTAAGTGTAGGCCTTATCATGCTCTTGGTGCCTCTGAATATTTAACTTATTTGCCAATCTGCCATTGTGCAACACTAGCAGAAATGAAACAGAAAGGCTTGCATTAGTATCTATGTATCACACCAACATTTCATGAGACAGGTTACCTTTTTTGCTGCCTGTTCTTCTTCTACACCATCCCCAATTACAACATATACTACTTTTCTGCCAAACCTTTGCATTATTCGTTCAAAGCAACTTTCTTTTCCTGGAAGATAAATGAGATAAGAGTTCAGAGTGAAGTTACCTGGTTAGCTGCATGCTCCTCATCTCGTCCATCTCCAATCACAACATAAGTTATGTTAGTGCCAAATCTGGACACTATACGCTCAAAACAGCTTTCTTTGCCTGAAAAACAACGCACTACTTATTCAAGCCATCATGTGAGTTATCTTGAAGCTTTACAAAGGGTTAAGTGAATCCTATTAAAAAGTGTGCATTTTTTCATAGCTCCCAGCTTTTGGCTTGTTTCACAGCCAAAAAGTAGTTGAATTCCTTTGGTCAGACTAAGCAGATTTATCTGATATTAGATCTCATTCCTAACCTTAGGTAGAGATTTTGGCTGTAACAGAAGGATGGTATTACTTCTATTGTAAAAACATAAAATTGAATGTCAATACTTGCAGATTATTTTAATTCCCCTCCCCCCCCAAAGGATAGTAGCAGTTTCATTTAAAATGCATTTACTGCAGGGGGAAGAGCTGTCATTATGGGATGATGGGCACTCAAAGCTAGGGAGAAGAATGAAATGAGGCAGAAACGTGCCATTTTGCAAGACTGGATTAAGCCAGCTCAGCCAATGACAAGAAAGGAGGCTTCTAATTAGGAAAATATTGTGTTTTGGAACTGCTGAATGAGGACCAGATTGTAGTGAGTTTAAGGGCCAGCTCCAAGTACAGACACTATGCTCAGAGTGCAGGGACCACTCCTTTTGTACAACCCTGGCAGCACAACCCACCTGAAAGGATATGGGGAGAGGGGAGTGGTGTGCATTGCATCCCCAGAAGGGATAGAGCAGTGGGCACAATTCCCCTGCATGCCAGGCAAGAATTCTATTTTCCTGCGGCAAATGGTGCTACACCTTACTATAGTCTGAGTGCAATTTGCACACTAGTCTAAAATGTGCAGGTTGCTATAAATATATCTATTAAATTGGCAGTTTAATGGAATTTAGGCTATTTGATATACTTAATTCTTTGAGAAAGTTTTAAATGATTTCATGCATCCCCTCATTATGGAATGACGTAGCTAATTAAGTTATCAAAATATCAGTTTTTCTTTGTGTTGCTGAAAGGCACATTTAAAAAATGGTACTCTAAAAACAAATATATTCAGGACGCTTTGCCAATGAAGTCTGATAGAATTTAACAATCAATCTTTGTTAAAATTTGGAATGGATGAATGGTCAGATATGAACTCTTCCAAATTATTAGCTGTTTAAAAGTCACCAGAATGGTGATTTTCCCCCAATTCACAATTGGATTTGATCTGATTTCCAATATCCAGATGCAAGTTCTTCTGAAACCATCAGGAGTCAAAAGTGAGGCCATATTATATTCTAAAGGAAATTCTCCCTAGATTTTCAATAGAAACTTGGGTTGTCCTGTGACCTAAATGTCACAATCATTTAAGAATTCTTAATACAACCTTTCATCAGCTGGAAACCTTCACTCTTTCCCCATATTCTAGAATCACTCTGTATGCACTAGTTCGCATTTTCAAAGGAGTCTTAGAGGTACCTTTGAAAATCCAAGCCTAAATTTTATTTTGTAGATTGCCATTTTCAAGAGTATAATTTGTTACTATATATTACAAGAAGTTATTTATAAGTTACTTAAAAGACCTGAAGGGTATTGGATGCCTGAAATTGCTGTGTATGAAATGAAGATCTTAGTTTATAATACAAATTAGCTGGGCCTCTCATATAATGCTGGTTCATAGAATTCACTGGAATTATATAACGTACATCTAACATATAAAAGATGAAATTCAGTAGGGAGAATGTAAGAGGGACGACTCTCCTGGAGTTCCCTCTTGTGGCAGGCCATGGCATGACAGGCATGTCTGCCTCAGTTTCCCCTTCCAAAGTCCCCAGTAACTCCTCTTCGGGTTCTCTTGCTATAATAAATATCCTCCTTGGGGCTGGTTTATTATAAAACCTTGTGCAAATGGTCTAAAACAGAAGTCCCGAACATGTAGTCCATTTCTCACCCAAGTGCAAGCAGTCATGAAAACTCAAGACATCTTGTTGTTTGATGAAACACATAATGTACTGGCTTCTTCAACCTTGCCTGGACTCTTGGTCATCCCTTGTCCTTGTACCAGGACCCACAGCCCTTCCACCTGAAGAATAATCCTGCTCTTCCCAATGGGAACCCCCCCGAGATGCCCTCTCTCTGTTCCCCTGCATCCAGCCCTCCAGCATTAGAGATGTCAGCAGGTAAGCCCCTCCATTGCTCCCCTGTCTTCAGCCCTGGCTGTGTCCCTCAGGCTCTTCCTACCCTCTGACCCAAGCTTCCCCAAGCTTGGGGAAGTCAGCCAGCAAACCCCTCTAGGCACTCTTCTTGCCTTCAGCCTTCCCCCCAGGAACCACCTTCTGCTTCTTTCTAGGAACCTTCCACAGTCCCATGGTCCCTGGTAGCTCTCACCTGTTCCTGATTCCCACAGTGGCTGCTCTGATTCACCAGTCTCTCTCTCTCACTGGCTCTCTTTTCTGCTCTACACCCAGGTGCCCTCTTAATTGGAGCATACTGATCAGGTGCACTTGCCCTGCTCCCTGTATAAGTGCCAGTGTCACCCTGTGACAGAGTTATATATTTAGATGGTACATAGTCCATATATAAATGTGACAAGTACTGGGATTAGAAGTACTCATAGCAAACAAACGTTTAAATTTTTAAACAGTCAATAAATCTTAAAAACTGAGGCAATGTACAATTCATTTTCTACCTAAATATTCATACTATCAGAGAAGTGGTTTTGAATCCATCCATAACTAATAAAAGGAAAAAATATTTTCATATGATAAAGCAAATGCAGTCTTTGAGGACTAAAGAGTAATTTTCTTACCTATTTTGGTTGCACTGTAAATATTTTCAATAGGAAAAGCACCTCCTAAACTATACAACAGGACTTTTGCAAGTGCTGGGATAAGTTGGGTGGTTGTTACCAAAACATTTACACAGTTACTCCTAAAGGGAGAGAAATAGTTGTTGAATCTGAATAATGGTACATTGTTCAAAAAATTATACAGTTAATATTTTGCTAAATAAAATTGGCCGCTGAGGATGGCATTCAGGATTTCCTGACATTAACTGTCAATCCAACTGCATTACTATCACTTAACCAGCCTTGAGAACCGTTTTATTAAAAATCTTATCCTTTGGCGGAAGGTTTTTCTGTTTTGGGCAAGTGCATAGGCCTGCAGTGCTGTGAAAACTGGGCTCCCTTTAAGATGTCAAAATAAATGCTCAAAAACTGAAACACCTCAAATCACTAGTTGCTTTTAAAAATGTTGCCAAAACAGCACTCTCAAATAGGCAATTACTGGTGACTAATGAACAATCAGATGAAAAAGAGTTAGGAGGGGAAAAATGACTGGTCATTACTGCCTTAAAGGGAAGGACTGGGACAATAGAGAAATACATATTTTCTCACCCAAGAATTATAAATTAATGGTGGCCTCAGAACTGAACATCACCTTCCTAGTATTTCAAGGGTGGAAAGAGCAATCTTTTCAAGGGGAGGGGAGAGTAAAACTTCCCAGTTTCATCACTGATTAGGTTTTTATGTCACTTCAGTCTGGGGCTTTGAGGAGTTCAGATGGCAGCAACTATATAACCAGAAATGGAATTTAATGCTATTACAAGGTCAGATAAGGAAGGGCTTGAACACTAGTGCAGCCTATTGGTGTTAACATGGGGCTAGGACCAGGAACTTGTGGGTTCTAATCCTGGCTCTTCTACAGTTTTAACATGTGACCTTTGGCAAGTGAAGTAATCTCATTATGTCTCAGCTTCCGCCTCAGTAAAATGGAGCTAATACACATCTACCTCAGAGATATTGTGAGGATTGATAAATGTACAGTATTCATGAAATACACCTCTACCCGGATATAACGCGGTGAATCAGTGCTCCGGGGGGCGGGGCTGCGCACTCCGGCAGATCGAAGCAAGTTTGATATAACGCAGTTTCACCTACAACGTGGTAAGATTTTTTTTTTTTGGCTCCCGAGGACAGCATTATATCGAGGTAGAAGTGTACTTGACAATTATTTAAACATCTGACTGGCCTTTATTTAATCGGTAACAATTTTCCAACAATCCATTATTGCTTAAATGAAAATGCAATTTTTTTAATACTGTGTGGATAATATTTTTAGAAATAAGTATATCAAACACACATGCATAAATTATTTGTACTTTTATTTTTTTGCATTAGATACTGCTAAAATAGATTTCCAGTTTAGCTGCTGTTTATTAAAAACATGTAGATGTTTAAAATAGTTGTTCTTTTCCCTTAACACTGATTCATCTCTCACCCATGTTACTCTTGAAATAGAAGACAATGTGGCACCATGTTGTTCATTACTATGGTTTTGCACTTGCAGTATTGATTAGCTCAGAGGGAACAGGTACTGCTCTGTGAATATTATTGTTGAAGAACCAGCAATGAAGGTTATTTTTATTTCTTAGGGATGGGAGTGCTGGGTTTTAATTACTTTGGTTAAACAGATAGTTGCTCTAAAAAACCTGCACATCCACTCAGGGTATGTTTATATTTCAATGTAAACCCAGGGTTAATAGCACGTGCATTAGCAGATCCTGGATTTGTTAACCTAGGGCTTGAGCGTCTACACTCATTTGTAACCCTAGATTAGGAACTGTTGAACCTTTGGTCCCAATCTGTGGCTCCAGTGTCTACACCACATTATGCAACCTGAGTACAACCACCCATATCCCAGACTTCCTAGAGCTCTCCCAAAATGTGGCTGCTTTAGCCTTTTGTTCATTGTGTAGGGTGTGAAAACTTGACTGTCCCCCAAACTTGTCTGTCTACAGAACACAGAAAGTCAGCCTGTGGGACACTATGGGTGGACTCCCAGAGCATGAGTCTAGTGGCTGTGTCTACACTGCAAGCAATAGGGCTTGAACACTCGGTCCTGGCTTGATGCAGGCTTGGACCTTCTACCTCTATGGTGCCCTAAGCTCCTGGGTCAGAGCAATTTGTGTGTTGCTGGAAGGGGGTTTAGGTATGAGCCCGAGTTTGAACCCTGGGCTCACACTGCAGTGTAGACATACCCCCAGAGTCATAATTATGTCTGCAGGAATGGACAGAGACCTTTGAGTTCTGGGCTTTTGTGCTCTAATGTAGTGCAGTGCTCAGATACCTCTACAAGCAGACACTATGCAGAAACACAAGATAGAGAGATTTTGAATTTAGAGGACATAATTTAAAGGTGAAGTGTCCATTTTAGGCTTGCATTAACTGTAAGTATCCCTTTAATGTACATTTAAAGAACTGAAATCTGTTAACTTAGCAGTTTCACCCCTCCACTTCACAGATTCACTAGTTTGTTACTTATGAAGGCTATTCTGCTGTGGTATTTGTATTTTTAATATAAAATGAATTAATATTAATGTTTTTACAATATACGCAAGTACATACCTAGTGCTAATAATTGATAATGATTTAAGTGCATTTGTCAACCAGGAGTCGGTCAAAGCTTCAATCTCAGCTCTTAACTGTAGCCACGCATCTCTTTTAGCAGGGCCAAGGAGACCTTGTATATAAATGAGTAAGGAAAAACAAACAAATTAAACTGTGCTTTAGCTGGAACATGCAGATTTTGCAGTAATTTATTCTATTTTGAATTCTGCTTTTAAGGCTTGATAAAATACATCCACTGAAGTCAATGGATAGACTCCCATTGACTTCAGTGATGACTGGATTGGGGTTTTACTTCTCCACACTATTGTAATGTGGATGTTTAAGATTCTAGGACTTAAATAATTTTGTTTGAAAGACACCTGAGCTCTCATTAATAACCAGCTTAGATACCCAGTTGTGCGTGTGTGTGTGTGTTTCTTCCCTATGGTACATTTTCTAGTGCTTTCCCCAAAGCAATTAGACTACCTCTACTTCTGTTGCAAGACTATCCACAGCCTAATATCATACATCCTACTGAAATGCAGTCCCAATTATCTCATTACTTCTAGTTATGGAGCCTAAATAATTTCTATCCAACCTTGGTATCTGAAGCTGTTGCAGCCTTGAAGTATTTGTAGATTTTATGTCATCCTTCCTTTAATCATGTCTCACAAACTATAAAAGCCTCCCTCCAACCTTTTTGTAGACCCCCTTAGATGTGACGGGCAGAACACTTTTGAAAATCTGATCATAACTTAGTCAAGTTTGGTTTTTCTGTCAACAAGACCACAATGTTACAAAAATAATGTTATAAAAGTTGGAGGGAGCAGGATGCATATGTGAATTGACCACAAATGGTGGAATACATTAAATAATCAATAAAGCATAAATTATGTTTGTGGTGGGAAAATAAAAATACATACTAGGTATATGGACTCCACCCTCATACTGATACCTTCTATTACAACCATCCTGTTTACTTTAGGTTCTTGCACAGTGGCTCAGTAACCCAAACTTTTTTTTTTTTTAATGGAATACAGCACCTTGAGAATTCTCGACACATTAGGAGCTTTTGTATGAATGTCCAGTAAATCTGTAGGTCAGTTTGTTTCCTGTATTTTTAATGTATAAAAATTCTATTTCATAATGGTAATATGACACTCTGGACAGCACAATTTCTTGAGGTATCATTAACTTCTCAGGTATTTTAAGTGGCTTGGTCTTAAGACATGCAACAATCACCACCTACAATGCTCTTACTGCTTCATTTTCCTGTAAGTAAATGCTCTTCGCTAATAAAAATGCAAAGATACAAGTCAGTCCAATTCTCAGTGAAACGTTTACTATGGTGACTAAAACTCACTGTCCACATCATCCTAACTCATGATTCCCATTTCTGACAGTGGGACTTGGTTCTAAAGCAGTGCCAAACCTACATATTTTTGTTCACAGGTGAGTTTTGAGTTTAGGTTCCTCTCTAAATGAGCCTCAAATGAAGTCAGTCTTGTTACAATAGTCGAGAGCTTCATTGGGACCCTCAACATCACACAGGCCTGGGCTCTCCCATTCGTGTTTGGAACAGGGGAAGGGAGAGAAGACCATGTCTTCTTGGGGTGGATGATTGATCTATCCCTCTGGGCTCTTCAAAGTGGGACTGGCTGGCCCTCTAAATCTTACAGGAGGAATCTTCTGGGTTCATTCAGCCTTCTTTTGCAGCAGTAGAACTCAAAAACTCTTTCAACACTGCTGCTATTACTGGCACTTGGATGCCCAAGAGTGTAAATGATAGCGAAGCCATCATCTTGTGAGAAATCAGAGGTTTCCTACTAAGACCGTTACCTCCGGTGGTGGTGATGGGAGTCTGGGGGGTCTGCTACAGAGTTTATGAAAGGGCACAGCAGCAGGACTATAAGAGCTTTTCTAGCTTCAAAGCTGCAGCATGCAGTGGACTGACCTGGCTGGCTGCCAGTGAACTTCTCCAATGGGATTTGGAAGAGAGTGTGGCTACCACCCAGCCCACCAAAAGAGCAGGATGGAGGAATAGGCCAGTCAGACTCAGCATGAAGGCACCAGAGGGGAGGAAGCAGGATACCTGACCTCTCTCCTAAAAAACATTGTAAGTAGTTGGAACAGCCAGTAAATCAGTGGGAATTGTGTAATTGTGTCTGAAGGATGAAATTCTGGTCCCAATGAACTCAACTGGAATTTTGCCATTGACATCAATTGGGCCAGAATTTCACTCTAAGTGTGCTGCTACCACAATTCTCCAGGGTCTCCCCCTTCGTCCTCTAGAAGCAAAATTCTAGCAGTCACTCTTAATGGCAGGGTATCTTTCACAACTCTGGACTGGTCATTTATATTACATTTTAATAGCACTAATTCCACTGTGGAGTTTCCAAGGGTACTGTAAGGTAGCATTACTTAGTTACCATAACCATACAGTAACTTCTTCAAATGTAACTTGATAATATTTTAACTTATCCTAACCTTACCTCCTATGTTGTTCTTGTAAGTATTATACAATTCTTTTACTCTTCTGTAACGGAAAGCCAGCTTCCTCATCCAGTCAACCCCTCCTCTTACACCTGTTGGCAGACAAAGGTTTGCACTACTTGCAGCTGCATGGAAGCCATCAGTTGCAAAACTGTAGGTACTGCAAACACCCAAAATATATTAAAAATAAATACAATTTATTCCTGTAAAATGAACTTTTTTAATCTTTGCAAAAAATAAAATTTTGAAAGAGTATATCTTACCTTAGGTCTTGCCCATTGTCATCAGAAGAAACATCATCTATATGAACTTGATCACATTCCTATTGAAAATTTAAATTAAAAAGATAACTTGTTTTAAAGGTTCATGTATGTGTTAATACTTCCCAACCTGTCTTTAGTACAGGCATTAATAAAACAACCTCTGTGTATCATCGATTGTGCCAGAAGATGGCAGTGTCTACACACTCATTATCATGACAAACTTTTCTTTTGAAACAAAAGAATTTTCAACTCCTCCGATACTATTCAAATTAAGAGTTAAAATGGAGTCAACAAAGAAAGTTATAAGGTACTTGTTACTTCAATGTGATTTTAGACAGCAATTCTTTTTAAAAACCCTTTCCTAGTCCCTCTCTGATGGGTTGGTAAGATGTGTGTTAACCCAGCATTTCAAAATCAGTTCAGACCACTGTTCTCCATTCTATATAAAAACTAGTAATGGATGAACCTCAAAGATCTGTCATTTCTGTTAAGCCTCCAAAAGGCTGGATGCTTATTCAAGTCTTATCTGAACTTACTCAAGCCTCTTTGGTTTGGAAACCTCACAAAATCAAGCTCTTGAGGCCTCCACTACTTCCTGGTTTCAGCTGGGCTGAAAAAACCCACAGAAACAGCCTGTCCTGTAGTATTTGACTACCTCCAGTCCCAGGAAAAAAAACAGGAAGTATGGAACATACAGAGAAAATGTATAATTTTAAAAGAACTTTCTTTATTCGGGCACTGTTTTTTTTTTATTAAGGGTGTTCCATTGTTCACAATTGTTATGGAGAAAAAGAGGTGAATGTGGTATCACAAGAAAATACTCTCGGTGTACGTGTACACAAGTCCTGCATGGATAGTTTTTTACATTTGTTTTCTGTACCACAGTTGTAGTATATCATCTGAAGGACATGTATGGATTCACTAGTTTGGAGATTTTACCTGCATGTATTTAAGTGATGCTGTCACAAGTGAAAATAATCACAATTGTGAACATTTGGATTAAAAGATTACATTGAAAAACAATCAAACTTTTTCTACTTTTTAAAAAAAGGTTGAGGAATGGTTTTGAAAACTGATTCACCCATTCTACTGCTTTAACTCACACATTAATGTAATCACTTAGGCTGAGCTTTCCACTTACAGAACTGCATACCCTTAAATAACGAGCTCAGTCATCGTCAAACAAAATCATCAGTCAAGATGTGCACATTTTAGAAGTCTCAAAGCTCAGTCTAGTACAACCGCTAAGAAAATTTAAAATCTAAAGAAAGGAGAAATTTCAGAATATACACACTGAAAATTTAGAATTTAAACTGGGAAGGCAGGACATCTAATTAGAGATGTTATTTTTAGAATTTTCATAATTTTTTGTCCAACACTTTATTGCCTTAATATCAACAGTTAATGATTTTTTTCCCACGCAAAGTAAGCGTGTTAAAGTCAGATTAGATTTTAGAACCAATTTGTGGACAAAATTAGTGCTGACAACATCATTTAATAGTCATATTTATGATTTATCATTCTGTAATATACCCAAAAGAACTAGCAGCCAAATTCTACTTGTTTGGCTTAACCCAATCATGTAATTGCCATAGGAGTGTAAGAGCTCCTAGGGTTCAAGGGCTGTTCTCTCGGGAGTAATAAAATGCATTTTCTCTCTCTAAATGGGATGGGATTATCGCAGGGTGCAGAATATTATAGAATACAAATATGGACACTGGGAAAAATAGTGGGTTTGCACAAACTGATGCTGGTAAAATAAAAAGCAACCCACTCTAAACAGAACATTTTTTTGGCATTTTAAAAAGTTCAGATAACGCACAACTTTCAGTTTATTTTTGTGTGGACCTCTGGACTTCCTGGTTCTGACAGGAACTAGCAAAACACTATTGGAATTCAGAGCCTTAAACAAAGTTTTTCTATGAAAATAGAGGTGGAGGGGGGAAGAGAGGGGAAAAAAAAGGAGTGCCAGATGCAAATAAAGGAGCAGTTTTCTTGCTCTCTTGCCCTCACTATTGTTTGTGCCTATGGAGAAGTGCCAGTGGTGGAAATACCACACAGTTGATTGTGGGCATACTAAAATCAGACTCCATATTACATTGGGACAGATTCTGATATCTTTACTCATGTTAAGCAGGCATCATACTCCAGAGCAACTCCACTGATTTCAGTGGGATTGCTTACAGAGTAACATATTAGTCAAGGGTGTAAAGGTATCTGACCCTGTGAGTTTGTGTGTGGCGAGGAAATGGACAAAGCATGCATGAATAAAAAGGAGTGTGTATAGCTGTTTGGATTTTGTTAAACTGTTCAGCTATTTTATAATGAGTACTGGAGTTAGAGTACATTTTAATACTAGAAAATAGTTTTGTTTGGAATGGACCCAATAATTGGCACACAACCAACATCTAAAATTCCAGAGACTTATTTAATGAAATTATCAGCAAAATTGAATATGAGTGGGTGGCAAAGGCTCAGCCTTTTTCTTCTACTTTGAATTTTTGTCTCACATCTTGAAAGCCAGATCCAAATCCATCAATTTACGGGGAGGAAAGAAAGAGGGTTCAAGAGCATGCAGTTTCCTGACTTCCTTGCTGCTGGTCTCTGCAGGAGGGTTTTTCAGTTTCCATAGGATCTAAATACATGTGGTTTTCCAGTTCCCCCTCCTCACTGAGTCTATGGCTCACCCTCTTAACCAATTGTTTCAGAGCTATGGGAGCATTGTTACTTGCTTCTTTCTTTGGTGCATTACTGAATACTCACAAGGGAGACCTTAGAACTGACTCATGTGCTCTTTCTATGCTATTGAAGTACTCCTTTCTTCTTGATTTTTAAAAAGTCACACTAGACCAATGTATTTGTAAAATTTGGATAAACTTTCATACCAAAAATGTTCAAGTTCATCATAAAGCCAAGTCCAGAAATTTTTTACAGATTTTAGTCAGTTCCCTCCTATTCCCAGTGGAAACAATGAGCTTGTTGCACAACATTAGGAGATTGTAACTTGTTTATAGGAAAGATGGGATAGAAATGGGGGGGGGAGGGGGAAAGCTCTCTGTTAATTTGAATTTTAAGGTAAAATACCTTTCATAACAGCTACAGTACTGGCTACACTCAAGTCACAGTGGGTCACTGGCTGTGCAAGTTCAAAACTAAGAAAGATAAAATATATTTTCTATTACTGTGTGTGTACAGAATTAGTCCAGGTACAATAACTGACGTTTTGTTTGCAGTAATATTTATTTAAATAACACCTCGATGTAGTTAATTACCTGTAGGAATGTTTAGAGCTTGAAAATTTTACTGAAAGTGCAGAGCCTACAAATTGTCCATAAAAAATTATCCTCTTGGAATGGATAGTAATTTCATTATCCAGTAAAAACAGTGACTCACTGCACTGAAAACAAAAATGCTATTATACTGCAGATATTCAGCACTACACATTTTCAGGATGTACAGAACCACCCATTTCATGTACATGCCTCAGTCTATTAAAACTGGACTGAATTGCCTGCCAAATTGAGGCTTATTTAAACTGCTACCTGAACTTTTCCCCTCTTTTATATGAAAGAAAAAATAGCATAGGTTGATTTTTTTTCATTTCAACATGAGAAAGAAGTAAATTTATAGATTCTTCATACCTCATTACCCTCCTTGCTCTCTAAACCAATATTACATATGTATATTCCCTTAAACTCTATGAATTTGTTTTCCCCACAACTTATGATAAAACTACAATAAATAGCAATAGACTATTTTACTGCTGCACACAGACAGGGCCAAGTCCCAATTACTACTACTACTAGTTGGAGACACTGATTTTTGTGCATGTGTTTGTGGCGGCGGTGCTGGGGAAAGCACTAGAACTGAATTACTTTCTACCAAAATTTCTCAGTCATCCTTAGACTTACTATTTGTGTAGGACGATATAGAATTTTATTCCTTACCTGTACAACAATCTTCTAATGAATGTAATTGCCACTAATCCAGACATTACTACTGGGCTGGCCCCACCCTCTAAGCAGTCTAAAATGGCTCTGCTGCAAGAATTTTCTAGAGCATGCAGCCACTGTATATAAGGCAAGGCCACCAACTATGGTCCCAAATGATACTTTTCAAGCTACCTAAAATTTATACTTCAAGAATGAAACTGCTGGAGAAAAAGTAAAACCCAGCCTCAAATAATAGCAGAAGCTTTACTGACTAGAACATTGGTTACTAAGTTCCAGAGGAATACCTCAACACACGGGAACTTCTGGAAATTATAAGCCGACAAATAGGGAGCAGGTTTTGCAGGTGGTAATATCCAATAATCTGGATGTTATTACTAGCAGTTGGCAAGTAGTGGCTGCATCAAACGAGAGGGAAAAGGATAAAAAGGGTTAAGAAGAGAACATCTTGGAGGACCTTATGACTAAAGGTAGCATCGCAAGTAGATGGGCACGTAATCCACGCATTGGTCACCTCCAGACTGTATTACTGTCATGCGCTATATTTGGGCATGAAGATGACAGGAATAAAGAGGCTCCGGCTCATGCATAACATGGTGGCTGATGTGAGAACTGGTGCTCTGCCCCTCCCCTGCTCTCATTTCAATGCCAATTTAAGGCCTTGGTCTTGATGTTTAAGACCATCAACAACTCAGAACCCAGTTTTATCTGAG